TCTTTCATAGTTACTGGAAACTGTGGGACTATAATATTTTTGATTAAAAAACCCAAACCAAAACCAGAAAACAAAATTTTACTCTTTAGAAACTTACTCTTTTTGTCTAGGATGACCTCCTGCTTGTAGATAAGAAAGAGTCATGATTTCTGTAGTTGCAATTCTAGTGAGGATCTCATACTTTTGGATGTGTTTTATTCAGAGAGGCAGTATTGGATAGGATAGCTCCTGCAACCAGCAAAAGCGGCAAAAATGTTTCAGTTTCCGCTTGTTCAGACATCAGAAGTACAGAGAAGCCATAACCTCCTCATGCCAAGGATGGAGCTCCAGCTGCAAGCTCTCATCTTCCTGTGAGATTTGCCCACATGAGTTTTGTTTTTTCACCACGAGGCAAGTCAGCTGTCAGCTGCACGGAGCTGCTAATCCTGTGTAATACAAAATAACCTAGAAGACAAAATCTGTTGCGTGCACGCACACGTTGTTGTAACTAGTTATTGCTTTTTTTTTTTTATTGCATTGAAAACAGTTGGAGTGCGGATACACCAAAATAGTCTGCCTGTGTAATACGGGAATTGTCTAAGTTGTTTTGTTGTTGAAAGCGTAAGTAATAGACATTTGTAAACACTGAGGGACAAATAGTTATGAGCCGGTCAGGAGACCAAATTCTTTAGCTGTTGTTTCATGAGCATTTATCAGAAATCTTGACCTCTTGTTTCTGTATCTAATTTTTGTGGGGTTTTTTTTTCTTTTTTTTTCTGCTCCTCTAGAGGCAGTTTTCAAAAACTTAATCAGCACTATGAGCTGCATTGGTGACTCATACTGCAGAATAAAGTATCTATTTAGCCTGGTATCAAAGGGGCTGAGAAACTGAAGCCCTGGTTTTCTGGATTACAGGTAGCAGGTAAAGATAGGATTTCCAGAGGAAATTTGGCATAAAGTCCCACTGACTATCTGTGGGAAGTGGGTACCTAATTTATCAAAATTTCCTTCAACAGCCAGTGTTCGCTTGAAACATAGTGCAGCTTTTCAAACTGCTTTTCTTGTCCCACGGCATATTCTAACACATCTGGCTTCTAATAACATTAGATGGACCTTTAAGAAGCCCAGTCTTAAGTTACAAATTTACATATGTTCCTTATTAAAGCTATTTTTCTTGTTTGGTGTATGTAGAGGATGTGTGTGTTCCCTTCTGCAAGTGCACCTTGCACAGTAAAAAAAAAAATCCATTCTCATCAGAGTGTGTTTATCCTCTCATAAATTTTTAGACTTACAGATGACAAGAAGAGATGACCAAGAGTGATGATTTACAAGACTGTGACACCCATAGCTTGTTAAATCTTTGCTTCTACAGCAACAGATTATGCAGCCTGTTTTTACGACAATGTGTTGTACTGGTTTAGGGAAAGCATTCTGTATGCAATTTTTACTTTTTCATCCAAGACAAGTGTAATTCTTCTGGGAATAAATTCAAGGATCTAGAGATACATTACCAAATACTGACTACCATGATTCAGTGGTAGTCTATGGGGGATGTATAGGAGATTTAACAGCTGGGAAGGGAGGGTTAAGGGCCAAGGAACAGCTAAGTTGTCATTGAGTTCGTGCTTGGGCAAAACTTAGATTTTGCTTTTAAGGTAGAGCTGATGATATTTAGCCTATTTTTGTAACCATCATTTATGAATAACAGGATGCTCAATAGCCTTTAATCTCTGAAATGGGCAGTGACTCAGTCTAGTTCCCTAAATTGAGTATTTCATAACACGTATGTTCCTTATAGATTGTAAATGTAAATGAATACAAAAATGTATATATTCCAGTTTCTCAATGTCAAACAATTTTTTAGGGATCCATTTTAGAGTAAATATTCCTGCTATCAGCTGAACCAACCAATCAATTTTATGTCCACTGAGAGAGTTGCAATCTTTAGTGTCTTTTTGATAGTTTTCACTGACTTTTAGCAAACATGTCAGGTTTTCGGCTTGTTTTTTATTTGTCTGTTTTAATGCAGTCAGTAGTGGTCAGAACTGCTCTTCTACTGTTTTAGAGCTAAAACAATTAAACTTAAATTGACGAGGATTTATAGTAATCATACTTCATTTTGTTTGTTAGAATCCCCTAATGGAAAAAAAAGAACCAGTTTTATTGATCTGTTTTTACCCAGAGAAATTCACAAGCAAACAGTAGTGATTTTTGTTTTATTAATTCATTGTCAGATGTAGTGTGTGTATGTATATGTATTTAAGACAATTACCTGAATGTGAGTGTACACAACATGGTTAAGCATGATGCTCAAAAAAGGAAAGTACCTTTCATTTATTTTCATTTAAATTGTGAAATCAGTAACTGTAGTATATATACATATTTCTCCATATTCTTTACAGCTACTTCATGGATATGTCTGCCAGCATTTTGCGCATATTTTGCACCATTTTTGTTTAATACTATGGAAAGAGGAGAGTTTCTCAAGCTAATGCATTGCCTTATGTATTTTATCTCTGTACTTGTTGATAAATGCAGGTAGTGCTTTTCTAATTGTACTCCAGCAGTACACTGGCATTGATAAATTAGATGCACAGTACATACTTGTCTCAGGATACCTGGATTTTTCATCATTAGATTTTGAAGTATAAAAAGATACCGAACTCATATTTTTGTATGCTGGCAATTGTGTAGGGTTTTTTTATATACTGTATATATCAATCAAGTTTTCCTAAAGAAAATGTATTATTAGGAATGTTTGCCTTTTCCTGCTAGAAGAAGTGGGTTTATGTTTTCTTTTATGTATGTATAAAGGAATATACAGCATGCACAGTCATGCAGATGTTAACATCAGTGAGAAATTTCAGATTGCCCAGAGGCCAATCAAGTAGTCGTTTCTTGTATTCTTCTCCAGAAATAACATCTCCATGATAGAAATCCTATATGCCTAGTGTGGAACTACTTTAGAAATAACTTCTGCTTCAGTTTGAAAGTCCAATAGAGTGTTCAAAGTAGCTGGGACATTTCTGCAAGTACTTAGATTTGGACTTTCATGGGAACATCCACAACATCTTTTATGGGGGGGTGGGGGTGTGTCCTATCTGTACCATGCGCCAGATTTAAAAAACTAAGCAGCCTTATTAACTTTTTAACACCCTGTATATAGTGTACGTATTTGGTTATACTTGTGTTACACTTTAAAAATGAACTTAATTTCTGCATTGAGTATTGCACATGTTTTTCAAATGAAGAATATATTGTTTGCAACGTCTCATTAAGCACAAGAGAGCATTACTGCTTTGAAATATTATGTATACATACAGC